TGCTATCCGCTGCTATTGCTGCTACTGCTGCTGCTGCTGCTGCTACTGCTGCTACTGCTGGTGGTGGTGCTGTTGCTGCTGTTGCTACTGCTGCTGCTGCTACTGATACTGCTGGTGGTGGTGCTGTTGCTGCTGCTGCTGCTGCTTCTGCTGCTGCTATTGCTGCTGCTACTACTGCTGCTATTGCTGCTGCTGCTACTACTGCTACTAATACTGCTGCTGTTGCTGCTGCTACTGATACAGCCTGATACAGCTGCTACGGCTACTGCTGCCTGCTCCTCACACACAGACACTCACACCCTGAACCGTGTGGGATCCCCCCCCCCGCCTTTTGGGCACCTAACCCTGATAGAGCTATCTGCCTTGTGTGATTGACAGGTAACTCTAGCCAATCATCGTCGCGCTAGGGTCGTTCCAAAACGCTGCTCAGCAAAAAGGTGTCACAAAGTCGATATTTCGCCCGTGTGCACGAAAAAAAAACGCGTATAGACTGGTCTAGCATGAACGACCTAGCAACAATACCCTAAGGGAGGGGGAAGGGGGGAGGGGGTCAGACAGATAGAAAAGTCTCTCGCAACAGATAGGTTGTCATTGGAAAAGGAACGTTTTGTAACATGCGCAGCTGCATAACACATTACCAAATGCCGCGTAACAATTACCGACGCATCCGATAACACAATCTAACATCTTGTTCGACAATGTTACCGACGCTGCGTTTCACCAAACAAACTAAATCTCTTAACACTTTCCACAGCGATGTCTCTAACGAAGCTTCTCTTAGGAAATATCTGCATTCTTACAAACAGCGGAGGCCAAAGGTTTCCTACAAAAAATTCAAGCTAAACTAAAGAACGAGATTCTCCGCAATTTGCGCGCAATCCTGACTGATGATCGCATCTTTTGCAAAAAAAATCTTTAGAATTTCAAACCTTTCAAACTTTCGAATCTCGAATGACCGTTCCGCGCTCCCGCGCGCGAGCGGAACATTAACACACGCGCGGCTGCGGGTGGCGCGAAAGTAGAGGGCGCTTACATCGTCTGCAGCATCGCTAGCTTCTTCTTCAGCAGCTCCTGAGCTTCGTTGAAGCCGGCTAGCATGCTCTGCCGCTGCCGCAGATGCTGCGCCTCCTGTGAGTTCATCTCCACCTCCTGCTGCCTCGCTAGCTCCCTCTCGCGCTTCCTACAGACAGGTGGCAGCACGGGACACGGCATGCGCGTGCACACGCGTTTGTGTGAGTGCAAAGCCGCCAGCATGCATACGTCATCAGTTACGTCATCAGCTACATCATCAGCTACCTCATCAGCTACGTCATCAGCTACGTCATCAGCTACGTCATCAGCTACCTGCATCATCTACCCTAGTCTTTACTTCTCAGTGGCACTCCCTGCAAGCCGCACCAACCCTCCCTTGAATGTCAGAGGAGTTTTTAGTTAGTGGGTTATTCTCCTGACTAGGTTTCCTCTGGAAACATTGAATGCTGGTAATAAGTTAGTAGTCTTTAGTTACCCACAATAGGGTGCGGGAAGAACAAGTTTGGCGCAAAATTCGGTAGACGTCATCAGAATGGTATTTTTTAGTATCGTTTTTTTGTGTGCTGATACCTAGCGAATGCCATCTTTTTAGAATGATTTTGAGAACCTTTGGAAGTGCATTTGGAAGTGCTGTTTCAAGGTGTGAGTGTGTGATGTGAAACTGTAGGGGACATGAGCAACGGTAGCATTTTGGTTGCATCTTGCTGTTGCGGATCTGTGGTTGCTATGGTGATAGCTTGTGAAGTATATCTGTATGATCACTGCTTTTCCCAGCGTGTTGTTCGACCTCTACACCGACATAGTGAGCTAAGAATCAGTTAACAGATTTGTTTTCAGCTTGGGCCGTAACCCCTGGGGCTGAGGGAAGGCAAGGGGGCGGCCGCTCTGCCTAGATTGTTATAAGAAGAAATACAATAAAAGCCTAATAGAATCAAGCATAACTCAACAAATGTGTACATCATGGCGTGGTCATTCGTGAAACCCTCGCCTCACACCCACTAGAAATATTCCACATTCCCTTTAGACATTTGCTCAGGCTATGCCTCTGCTAATCCTGAGTCAGTCTACTAAATATACATATCGAAGTTATCTATAATATACATCCGAACAAAAAGTTGTTTAGCCACTGAGTCTTACCTGTGCATGCATGCGTGTTAACCACTCATCTGTTGCTGATATTAGCTGATGACGTAGCTAATAACGTAGCTGATAACCTACCTGATGACGTAGCCAATGACGTAGCCGATGACGTAGCTGATGACGTAACTGATGACGTAGCTGATGACGTAGCTGATGACATAGCTGGTGATGTAGCTGATGACGTAACTGATGACGTAGCTGATGACATAGCTGGTGATGTAGCTGATGACGCTGGCTCTGTGACCTTTGCGTGACCTTTCGGTGACTGCGCACGTTCGCTTTCGTCGCTGCTGCTTGTGCTGGGTCAGCGATCCCACTTACCGCCTCGTGTTGGTGGCGCCATCTGCAGATGCATCGACTGCGTATGTGTGTGATGCTGCTTCGCTGCTGTTGCTGGGCTCTTCCACTATGTGGCGCCACTGTGCGAATGCTTGGACACTCTTACTCGGTGTGATGTCACTGTACACTGAATGATTTTCGCACGTTGTGTGTGTTGTCTGCATGCATGTTTGCCTGGTCTGGTCTTGCTTTCATCCAGCTTTTGTGTAAACCTGTTTCTGAACGTTTTCATACACACACAATTCCAACTTCGTGATATCTTAATGTGATACTCTGATTCTTTTTCTACTGTGGTTTCCATATCGTGTATATGCGTATGGAATTCGTTCACATGTGTGCCTCTCATTGGACGTTATTCATGTCTGTGTTTGTCTTTCTATTTATCGTAATTCGTGAGACGTGTATATATCCTGTTTGGCATCCACCGGCATTTAAAAAGATATCGAATTTGTTGAGGTGAATTTATTTGAATGCATGCTCTGTTGTAGACGTGATCTTATAATGTGATTCGTTTCTGCTGAACCATGTTCTAATTACCAATTACATGACTATGCAAATTACGTCACTAATTAATTATGCAGACACGCACATGTATCTAGCTATCTAGCTATCTATTTATCTATCTAGCTATCTATCTATCTATCTATCTATCTATCTATCTATCTATCTATCTAGCTATCTATATATCTATCTATCTATCTATCTATCTATCTATCTATCTATCTATCTATTTATCTATCTATATATCTATCTATCTATCTATCTCTCTATCTATCTATCTATCTAGCTATCTATCTATCTAGCTAGCTATCTATCTATCTATCTATTTATCTAGCTATCTAGCTATCTATCTATCTATCTATCTATTTATCTATCTATCTATCTAGCTATTTATCTATCTATCTTTCTGTCTATCTGTGTGTCTCTCGATATATATATATATATATATATGCTTAATGGCACCCTCTTACCCTCGTGTTTTATTCTATAGCAGCGTGGCGTCTTGGTTTTTCTGCGGAGTGAAGCTGGGGTGCTTGGGTGTTGTGTGTTTGCAGGCGCTTACTGCTTCAGCTCTACATCTATTCGGGCTGCTTCTGCCGCCAGCACATCTAAGTGATGTCTGTATGTGTGCGTGCTTCATGGGGGTCACGCAAAGGTCACAC